AGTGGGAGGGGAGCTGCTGCATTGTAAATTTTGGTCAATGACATGAGACAAAGTATATGTGAACTGCTGTATGAAAAGTGAATTTACTCTCTAAATCTTCACCCAAATCCTAATTTAAAAAAAAAAAAAGAAATGCAAAAAAAAAAAAAAATCAAGTTGCCTTAAACTTACTTCTTTTGATTGCTAACATGAATTCAAATGAAAGAATATAATTCAGTCTGTTACTTTATTACAGAATCTTGCTGCTGAAAAAACATACAATAACTTAGATATCACAGTGACCCAGGCCCTGCAGCACCGGTCACAGTATTTTGAAGGTGTCGTGAAGTGCAATAAGCTGGAAACACTGGAGACCATTGTGGACAGAATAGTGAGAGCTGAGGTAAGGTGGCATTGTGAGATTCCTTCCTCTCTCCTTCCTTTTTTTTTTTTTTAAAGTCATGCTGCAAAAAGTACTGAATAGTGAGCAGTGCCTCAGGAAAGGCCCAGGGAAGCAGCCCTTGTGGTCATTCTTAACAGTGTGTCTCCCTGTGCCAGAGCATGGCACACTAGTTAGCATGTAGTAGGTGATCAGTGAATGTTAGGAGCTCTGGTGGCATAGTGCCTAAGGCATTTGACTGCTAACCAGAAGGCTGGAGGTTGAAACCCACCAGCCGCTCCTTGGAAGGAAGATTGGGCAATCTGCTTCCTTAGAAACACTGCCTCAGAAACTCAAGGGGAGGTGTCACTAGTGAGTTGGATCCGACTCAACGGCAGTGAGTTTGTTTCTTTTTTTTTATGAGTCCTAATATCATACTTAAGGAGTTCTGGTGGTATAATGCCTAAGGCATTTGACTTAATCAGAAGGCTGGTGGTTCAAACCTACCAGCAGCTCTGTGGAAGGAAGATAGGGCAGTATACTTCCATAATGATTTACTGCCTCTGAAACCCAGTGGGGTTGCTATGAATTGGAATCAACTGAGTGACAGTGAGTTTGGGTTTTTTTAGTTTGTAATAACATAGTTGGAAGACTCATTAACCATCTATAATATGCAGAGGATACAACCTTGTTTGCTCAAAGTAAGGATTACTTGAAGCACTTACTTAGGAAGATTTAAAATCCATAGTCTTCAGTATGGAGTACACCTTACCATAAAGAAAACAAAAGCCCCCCAATGGAACCAATAAGCAACATCATAATAAATGGAGAAAAGATTGAAGTTGTCAGAGATTTCATTTTACTTGAATCCACAATCAACTCACATGGAAGCACCAGATGATCAAGAAATCAGATGTTGTGTTGTACCAAGCAGATCTGCTGCAAGAGACATTTTTAAAATATTCAGAAGCAAAGATGTTACTTTGAAGACCAAGGTGCACCTGACCTAAATCATGGTATTTTCAGTCACCTCGTATGCATGTGAAAGCTATACCTTGAATAAGGAGGACAGAAGAGTTGATTCCTTTGAATTGTGATGTTGGCAAAGAATACTAAAAATACCATGGACTGCCAGAAGTACAAAGAAATCTGTCCATAAGAAATGCTGCCAGAGCATTGAGGATGAGAAAGACATAGAGAGTTACATGGGCAGTACAGACAACAAATATGAACCC